GGCTGCCTGGACCCTGATTTCCCAGTGCTCTGTGCCTTACCCCGCTCTGGGAGATCTGTGGTTCTCCGGCAAGTTAGGCAGCAAGGAGATCTCTTGAATTCTGCCTGACAGCCCTTTTCAGTTTAATGCGCCTAGAGCCCCTCTTGTATTTAATGAAGAAGCCTTAGGGAAGGCGGACCTGTCCCTCCTCTGAGCTGAAGCCCTTGCTGGGGCTGTGAAAGGCAGGAAGAGGCTCTGCTCAGGGCTCTGCTCAGGATGGTCACCGGCCCTCGGCACTGGGCTCAGTTGCGAATGGAGCTGGATAGTGGCAGTCAGCCCCTCATCCTGCTGCCAGGCAGTCAGATGAGCAGGTGCGGGGGACACAGCCAGGGGAGCAGCTCGCGGGGTTGCCTGGGACGCCCCTGCTTTCAGCCCTGCTCCGTGGAAACCCTCAGCCCAGAGCAGGCAGGGATGGCTGACCCCGTGAACATTCCTGATTTACAAAGGACAAGAGATGGTTTCCATCATGTGCATGCATCAAGCAACTTGGAAAAGAGAAGATTTTGCTTATGCGAAGACAGTTTTTGTATCTTGGAATTCTATTTGGAAATTGAGTCTTCATTGGGGAATTATGACTCGGGAGATATGGATTCTCTTGTAGTTCTTTTACTGAAAATCTTGTTTTTAATTCTCCTATTTTGTGGCTATTTTATGTTTCCCCACTGGAAAATGTATCTCTGTGTCAAACAGCTATCAATGCCTTACCTTTTCTTTGAGCCTTATAACTTTCCCTGTGCTGCTGTGGGACAAATATTTGCTCTGCAGTCCAATTAATGAGTGATTTAATGAAGTTTGTGACATTAACTTTGATCCACATACAACGGTCAATGACTATGTGGCTTTTGATCTGTGGGTTGTGGTTTTGTTTTTTTGTTTGTTTGGTACTGGCAATTGAATTTGAGTCCTTGTGCTTATGAGGCAGACGCTGGAACCACTGAGCCAAATCCCCGGCCCCTTGGGTTGTGGTTGAAATAAACGTAAATCTCCAATGGTAAGGGACCAATCATAAAGTTTTTTCTGATTAACTACTGCGGCACACTGTTGTGCATTACCACATGTGCCACAAGGGGGCAGTATCACCAATCCAGTCACATTTCGCCCACGCCCACTATAAACTGTGCCATTGGGAGGAACTGGAGGGCTGTGGGAGGAGCCTGCGCAGTGAGCGCATGGGCTTGACCCTGACCACTTGCTGATTTGTTACCTGCGAGCCACTTCCCTTGCTGACCCTCTTGGTGTAAAGCAAGGGACCTGAACCAGATTAACGCCAAACTCATCTGGGACTCAATTTTTTCGGCACCCAAATTCCTGTAAAAACAAGCGAGTATGAGGCTCTTTTGATGGCATTGTGTGGAATTCTGTTTTGCTTCCCTTTCAGCCAAGCTCATGTTTCTGGGTATATGTGCTCAGTCACCCAGCATAATTGTCTTTTTCTTTTCTTGGGTAGTTTATTGTATTTCTTGATAAACTCATTCCCACATATAATATGCTTGTCACTTCAAAGAAAATTGGTTTAGATTTTGTGCTTAGTTCACCTTTGGGGCAGAGAGAAATGCATCTTAGCCTCTTTTATTCTTGGCTTTGGTTTTTCTACCAAGCTAAGCTGTGTCGTATTTGAAAATTACAGCCGTGCTCCACTGAAAATGCAATGATTTCTTCAGGATTTGTGGTTCACGCTAGTGGTTCATCACGAACAACTTATACTGTAAATACTTTGCCTCCAAATAAACTTTTAGCCATTTTTAGGAATGAAAAGAAAAGAAAACAAAACAAACAGATCAAGCTTCAGGGAAGGTAAGACCTTGAAATCTGATAGCTGCCAGATAATATCAGAATTATGATTGCAAGGAAAATGACATGAGTTGTACATTACCATAAATCTGTAACTGCTCAACTTGATGAAAAATATTGCCATAAAATTCTCCCACTGCAAAGCCAACTGATACATTTTTATTCTGTGACATTTTGTGAGAATGAATAAATTATCTGAGAATGTGTTTGTATCAAAAACAGAATTTTGTAATAAACACATTAATCAACCAAGTGTTTTCCAGCAAGACGCCTGGTCCTAAAAATGGGAGAATTCATATTAATTTTGGCTCTCTGGGCTTCTTGTATGGAATTATTGGGCTCCAGGTGGTAACATCAAACCATCAGTTACAAAGTATAAGAAAGGAAGATGTAAAGAGAATAACGCTGAACTCAGATACACCACCATCTCCCCACTCCAACAAGCCTCAGCTTCCTTTCTCTGAGGGCGTGGGTGTGGATATTTTACTGGGGTCTGTTTTAAAAAAATGATTTTAGTTTTGTTGCCATGACATCAGCCAATATCCTCCATTACACAGACAGCATGAATGCAATCCTGGGAAATATAGCCTGTCCATTTCCTTGAGGAGCTGGTTTTCCTTTATATTACTTGGGCTTGTGTGGCAGGCAGCTGAACCAGTGAGCTAAATGCCTGGCCCCTAAATTTGATCTTAATCTTCAGATCGGGTCATCTATCTACATTTCCCCTAGTATTCTCACTTTGTTCTGTCTTATTGTTCATAGTTTTATTAACTTCCACAGTTGCTGGGTGGGTGGTCGGTCATTAGCGATCCTGTGGGACAAACTGGGGAGGGTAGCATGCGTTGCCAGTTAAGCAAAAATCAAGGACATCCATGTTCTCTGCATTTATAATCATTTCCTCAGTCTCAGGCCTGTGACCGTCGCACAGAGCACGATGACACCCTAACGCCCCACATGGTGAGCATTTCCCACTGACACCAGGCCGCCTGGGCCTCCAGCTCCATCGGAAGCCAAATCGAGTCCTGGCTACCACAGCTGACACCCTGGGGATCTCGGGAGGGGAGATGTCCCCCAAAGACCCTCCTGCCTTGGGCTGGGACCTGTTTTAAATTAGGAACTCACCTTTTGTAAGTTTCCCACGTGACTTAAACCCCCAGGAGACACTGACCAACTGCAAAGAACAGAAAGACATCTTGCGGTGCCAAAGTAACTTCTCAGTAAAACGGCGATGAGCAGCCCAATAATCCCGGCTCCCCAAAGCCGGGGAGTAACTTGGCCGCGTGAAAATGTGTCTGGAGCTGTACCAGGTGCAGATGCGGGTTGCAGCACCGCCTGCCACCCACCCTCTCTCTCTCTCTTACACTGAAGTCTGCAAATCTACTGCTGCATGCCCCCTACGGGTCTTGACTGAATTCCGTGCACAGAGAGCAGAGGACCCAGGAAGTGAGGGGCGGGTTCCTCTCCTAGTCAGGACCAGGCTTGCTGGTGACTCGATGTCTTTTGATGAGACGGACGTCTTTGTGAATAGAGGCGACGTGGGCGGAAAAATATTGTCCAAGAGATACACAGAGATACTGACGTATGGGTCGATAGCTAAAGAAGAAGATCCAGAAGCCCGAGAAAAGAGGGGAGGGATACACGGAGAAGACAGCAGACCCAGGTCCCGACTCCTCTGCCACTCCCAGGGCTCGGTCCTCAGTGAAAAGCTGGAAACTCAGGATCAGAGCCCTTGCATATGAACCGGTCTTCCCATCCCCTTCTGGGTGGAGAGGAGTGGACTGTTTTTTCTCTGTAGCTCATCAAGTCCCTCCCAGCCTAAAAACGCAGCAGAGAAAGGCGGCCCAGCTCGGAGCAGGGGCTGTGTGCACAAGTCAGGACTATGGGGGTGCAGACGACAGGCCCCGATGTCCATGCCAGGTCGGGGTTCGGATGGGCACGAGGGGGACAGACAGGAGCCTGTGAGCTGCGGAGGAGGTTGCAGGCCCGTGATGGCCCGGCCGGGCCGGGCCAGGAGGCTCCTCCCACCGCTATGGGGCCCTCGCTCCTTGGGCAGCGCAGCTCAGGTGAGGGGTGCCCAGCCCCACCTGCACCACATGCTCAGGACGGAGGCTCTGAGAAGCCAGGTGCTGCCAAGGGTGGCACAGCCAGGAGTGGCAGAGCCTAGGATGGAGACGCTGTCCTCACCCCATCCACCACGTCGCCTGGTCTGAGGACCTCTCTCCTTTCTTCTGGGACCCTCTCTGCTTCACCCCTGCCCCGCCTCTCCTGTCTGGCTGGGGAGGCTCCTGTTGGGAGTCACCAGCTCTCCCCCCGTGGCTCCACCGAGGCCCCCCTGAGCCTCAGGCCAGCACAGGCTCCTCTTCAGGTCTGTCTCTCCCTGGCTTCTGGCAACCATCCTCCCTGCCATTGGAGCCTTGGCTGTCAACCTGGCCTCTGTCCCCTCCCCATTCCTGTCCACACTGCACATGCCAGGACTGACTCCCTCATGTCACCCCGATTTGAGTGCCCATTTCTGGTTGGGACCAGAAGGGTTACTAAAAACTAACATGCAGGGGTCCTCAGCAAGACACTGTGTAACCAAGCACGGGACACACAGCAGCTCCCTCTGTTCAGTTATCGGGAAGTGTAAGTCAGCCGATGGAATCAGAGGGACAGGGCCCTGTGAGGGACCACAGACACCATCACGGAGCCAATCCAGTTAAGCTTCTGTGTCCTTCACTTGGGCTTCCAGTACTCGTGGAGTTGTTTCTGTTTTAGCTCAGGCTTCTACCTCCATTCCTCAAATCGAGCCGTTTGGCCTAAAGCTTTAAGGTCTATTTGCATATTAATGAATCAACATTTTAAAATTAGATTCCTGTCTTGTGGCTTTTCTGGGCGTAGACCTATAGAAATCACATAGTGATGTATTTAACGCAATCCATGTCCTTCCAAAAAATTTCCTTTTCATATGCACAGCATAGAATATGAATTTTCACAATCAATTTCTTTGTCAATAAGGAAAAGCAATGAAAAAGCATAGGGCAGGACTGACTCAAAAATTAGTTATTTCCTGAAGGGATGTTCAGTAGACCACCTCGTGTGCGAGAGCCCATGGTCACAAAGTAAAACGAAAGCTCGTGGGATTCAGCAGACTTCTCCTTACAGTTCAGACTGTTGGGACGTGACCTTACCTTTCGCGTGTTGGCTTCTGATGTCCCTGGAAATGCGTCTGCCCACCTGTGGAAGACAAAATGGGACCATTTACCTCTCCAGGTGTGACCATGGCACCATCTAACATGTGGCCACAGCCACGCTGCATGGTGGATTCCCACGGATGGCGTGGAGGTGTCTGGCCTCGGCCGGCAGTCAGGGAATTCGTGACACGTTCTGCCCCCAGCAAGGCAGGTGCTGCCCTAGGGGATCCGACTCAGAAGCACTTGGGCTGGACATCCAGTCCTGTCTCCTACCTGTGCGCCACTTTCAAAAGGCAGTCAGAGCATTACAAGTTTCATCTTCACAATGGGGAAAATAATCAAGTTAGGCCGCCAGGTTACCGTGAAGATGAACACGCAGTGTCAGGTGGAGGATGGCGGTCACGCAGATGACAGGGTGGCCTTGTGGGAGAACCACGACGTGGTTACAAATCTGCCTCCACCCTGGGCTGCTAGGACCCCTCTGCCTCAGTTTCCTCACCTGTGACATCGCAGCCCGCGCCTGAGCACGCTGACGGTGTCATTAGCAACGTCCGTGGAGACATTAGTGAGCCATCACTGATGCCTCACCGGGAGGTGTGGAAGGGAGCTGAAGTTGTCACCGAGGTCCCTGTTTTCTGGGAGCCTTGGTCGAGACTGGGTCTCCTGTCCCCTCTCTCCTCCTCCCTCCTTGATGTATAGTTAATTCGAAAAGTTTTAATTTTTATCAGTACCTGTTTACAGCGCAGAGATTATACTCACCCTAAGGAGTGAGTCCTCGTGCGTAACACATCTCAATTATTTTAACTTCTTCCTCTCCCCTTCCTCCTCCTCTTCCCCCTTTCTGGGTCCCCTCCCCATTTACAGAAGATCTCTCCCCTTGCTTCCCGTGATCCGTCTTTTATTTGGCTCTTCCTGCATGTGCGCTTTGGGTTTCTCTTATAGGAGAGGCCATGTGATATCCGAGCGTGGGTGTCGGATTTTCTTCCCTGAACCCCGTGGTCTGAGGAGCCGAGCCCTGCTGGCTCTTGCCCCGTGTGGGGGCGTCTTGTCCTGCGTGTCTGGGCAGGACGCGGCCAAAGCTGGATTTCATGCCAACGCTGCGCCTCGTCCGTGCACAGCAGCCCCCAGTCCCTTCAGGGTCCCCTGTGGGGGGCACTGCGGGGCTCTGCGGCGATCCCTCTGCTCCCTGGGCTTCCGGTGTCCCTCGTTGTGGTGCCAGCCTGGTCACGGGGGGATGGGCTGTGTGGTCTCCCCCGGACCTGGGACCTGCACACCTAGGCCTTGGCATGGGGCTTCCTCGGGCTCCTGCGCCTTTTTCCCTCGCAGCCAGATTCTGCCTCCAGTCTTGTGGGGGTGGGATCTGCTGCAGGAGCTCTTTTGGTGTTCCCGCCCTTGTGGTTGTGACGTTTTTCCTTTTGTGCTCTGCTCAAGGGCTTCTCCCGTTATCTTTCACACGTTTGTTTCAGTGCTGACTGTACCTGCTGCACCTGCGCCGGTGCGGGACGGTAAGGAAACCAAAGGGAACTCCCTGGGATGCTAAAGGAGGCCTCACACCTGCGCGCGGACCGGCGGAGTGTCAGGCACAGGGCTGCCGGCTCAGCGCTGTGGAGAGGTGGGGCTGGGTCATTTTCGCAGCACTCCCGCCTTCCACCCACTAGAGGTCAGTAGCACTCCCTGGTTGTAGCAAACAGCCCCGTCTCCACTTTGCCACCGGTCCCTAGTCGCAAAACCTCTCGGATGAGAACCAGATACCTGCGCGATGCATGACAGGTGTGCAAGTCAGGTGTGCCTGTTTCCTTCACTGCAGCTGCCACTTGGGTGCGCCTGGTGCCTCCAGGCCCTGCGTGCCCACCCCACCCCAGCACTTCCGGTTCCACCGAGCTAGCCACGGGAGCCACCGCCTCCTCCAGCCGACGGTAGGCCCCAGCTCGGCATCTCTGCGCTGCTGTTGAGCGCAGTACTTGGTGCGCAGTAAGTGTTCAAACACAGAGAAGTAGTTTAGGGCAAAGCTCCAAAGAGTCCTGAAGATCCATTTCCTTGATAGTTTAATCTAAATATAAATGTAAAGAACTAATAAGAATCAATCCCTGCAAATGAGGTTGTAATGAAAAAGATCATCTGCTTCCCATAAAAACTTGATTATTCAAACATTGATTATAAGAGTAAAACTCTATCTGAATTGAGGCCATGACCTTGTTTAGCTTGTACGCAGCTTCGCTACTGGCCAGCATTTTGCTTGGGCCTCTCTTGCCCGGTCTCTCACTTGACTTCACTTGACTTAAATGTGTCAAGATGGCAGCTCCACTTGCAAGGTGATCCAGCCACAAGAAGACATTTCGCTTTCACAGGCAGCTACAAATGTAATAGGAAGCAGGAATGAAAAGGGGTAGGAATGGAGGCTTCGGTTCTGCCCTAGTTGTTTTTAGAAAATCGAGCAAGGATTACTTTTCCCTGAAAGAAGTTCTTTCCACGAACACTTATCTATCTGTAGAAGGAAACTATGGATGTTTTCTAGATAAAGGAAAGCTGACCTCTCAGCTGTGACCATTGACTGCTTTGAAACTACTCCAGTGCTTTTAGTTACTGGGCTGGGCACTCTGGAATTCTTTTCCCCTGGGCATTGCCTTGATCCTGGAAATGCTCTCCTCGACCTGCAGCCCTCTGCTGAGTGGCCCGAGTTGCAGGTCTTGGGAGCAAAGCAAGGGAGTTTTGTGGGCCGGACTGGAAAGTGTCCTGTGGGGACAGACACGGGGCTGGGGAGAGGTGGAGCCCTTCCTCCTATTAAACAGCCACGCATTTTTCATGATTGAGTTTAAATGATCCACAGTTTGTTCATCTTCATCCGTCTGAGCAGGATTTATTGAGAACCACTTCTGCAAAGGCACTGAGCCAGGCACTAGGGCTAAAATAGTCCTGATCCTCGTAGAGACGGCATCTCATGACTGCTCGGGTGAGCACCGTACTTGCCATGTCTTATTAGAACAGTGGTGAGATTTTATAAGTAAGACAACAAAAGCTCTGAGAGGGTGATGAGTGGCCTAAAGGCACGGAGTTTGTAGAATTGCCGCTGTTGAAGAGGAAATGCTGGTGTTCACCTGCAAGGGTATTCTAAGGACTAAGCGTCATGCATTCGTAGTCCGACCACCGCCGAGAAAGGCTCTCCCTCACCTTCCTGATCCTGCTTCAGTTTATAGTGCACCCTAAGGAAAGCACGTCTCCCTTGCTCTGCTGTCCATCTGTTATTTACTCATTTCTTACAGGGCTCCTCCCACCGGTGTGTAAGTTTCAGGAGTAGTGAGGTGGTTGTTCCCAGATGGGACTGTGGGTCCCTAGCTGTGTCAGATCCGGGCAGACATCGAGGACGAAGCTCGTGAATGAACTTGTGGCAGGGTTCATGGGAGGTCTGGCTTAGTGCTATGTGCAGAGGCGCTGTGGGGTGTTTCGTTGCTCCTCTCCCACTCTTGGTCCTGTTGGATATTTTCTGTGTCCAGGGCATTGAGTGGTAAAATTTGTACTTCCCTTTCCTTCTGCGCTATGGTTTGAATAATCTCCCCAGGCTCCTGTTGGAATCTCATGGCTGTTGTACATTTTGGCTCCACCGGAATGAGGGGACTAATTCCTGTACCTTGGAGTGGCTTTGTTCTAAAGGGGAACCATGGCCGCTCTGCTGTCTCTTTCCCCACCGCATTGCCAGAAACTGCACCCCAGTCACTAGGGGCTCCTCAATTTTACACTTTCCAGCCTCTAGGACTAAGAAATAACTTCTGTCCATCACAGTCTTAGCTATTCTCTCATAGCAGCATAAAACAAAGACATTGTCACTGCGGACAGAAGCCCTAAAGTTAAGCAGGCAGAAGAGAGTACACAGGAAGCACATGGATATTCAAAGCACGTTAACACTCAGTGGTGACTTTCGTCCCTGGATGCAGACTAAAAAGGATTTTACAGTGAAATCCTCTTTTATAAGAAAAATTAGGACTTTCTTCATTAAGAAAATTAAATGTTACCAAGTATTTTATTAAAAATATAAACCTGAGCCCAGGATTTAGCTCAGTGGTTCTGCTGCCTGTTTTGAAAGCACAAGGTCCTGAGTTCGGTCCACAGTACCAAAAAAGCAAAAAACAAAAACCTCACACACACATACACACACACACACACACACAACACATGCACACCTACATGTATGTGTTTAGGTTTTTTTTTTTTTTTTT